CCCCCGAGTGTAACATATTGGTACTTAACTCCCATCCAGCTAACAGTTCATGGGGACACTTCTCTTAGAGAAAACGGGAATCTTGTCTGGGTTTGGATAGATTGAAGACTCTTGAAAGCTTTGTATGTTCCCGAAGCCAAATGGGATGTTTTTCTCTCCGTTAGGGGATAACGGTCTGATCAGTGAGTGAAAGGAATCATACCTGTTTTCCTGTAAGCATCAGAACAACTGTTTTTTGAAAAGGAAGAAAAGTGGCACCTAACAGACGGGAATCTCATAATTTGATAAATGCAGAAATAGTAGCTTTTTAATATATTTTCTCCATGCCAATTAAATTACTGATTCAGTTGAAAGCTTAGAAATTATTTGTGTATCATATCGCATAGTACGGAAAACTAAACTATTAATTCAGTAAAACACCAATGCATATGTTAGCATCAGCTAGAAACGGCTCTGATTTTAGCAACTCTGTAGAGCTTCCAGACCTGTTATTACTGCAACTATTTAAGGTTGTTGGAGTTTGTTGACAGAGTTTTCACTTAGCTTTACTGGCAAGAGCTACTCATCTGGCCTGGATAGCTTTGTTACACGACACAGGTGGGACAGGTTTACCAGGGCACGAGCATTGGGATTTGCTCTCTTGTCCAGAAGGAGTTTGGTGACGCGATAGTGGCCGCAGTGTGCGGCCACGTGGAGGGCGGTCAGGTAATCCAGCGTGACGTCATCCACGGGCGCCTTGTGCTGCAGTAGGTGTTTGACGCATTCCACGTGGTCCCCCTGGGCCGCCATGTGAAGTGGAGAGAGTCCATTCTGTGGCAAAAGAAAACAGAGCAGTAACTTCTAGTAACTCTCACTTAGATCGTGGCACATATTAGAAGGACGCCATCACGAGTTTGCGGAGTTCCCCCACCACTGAAACAGAGCCGCGCCTGAGCGACGGACTGGAAGAAAAACTGAAAAAAACTATAGCCACCCTCCCCTTCCAGCAAATACGGGCAAATTTCGAGGAACATCATATGATTAACTAAAATCAGAATTTAATCAAAGCAAAAGAATCTAAGGGTCTTGCCTTATGATTTAATAAAATCGTATCTTGAACTTAAAAGACAGTTCTGGGGATACTCATCATAACACTAAGACACAGGTTCTATGTTAATTAGAGGAAAAGCACCTCCTTACTCATCACTGTATTTATTAAAGAACCTATATTTTTTTCTGTAAGTGTTCAATGAAAAAACAAATTATACCAGCAAACCTGACCCCTGAGCTTCTGGGAAATGGTACTTTCAACCGCCACCACGGCTGGACCTTTTGTTCAAACTGTAACACTTGAAGGGCAGTGGAAGCAGGAGTGTCTGTCTGGCTTTAACAGATCTTTTTGTAAATAATTAAGCCCATGGAAGGTTGACAATCAAGAGGAAAGAGAACTGTTGCTATTAGTATGTATAACAAGTTGCTTTCAGAAAAAATTGGTTTTAATATTTATATATTTGTCTGTCTCCAGTTTGGAACCACCTGTTTCAGCTGGAAGTTAGAAAAGGAAGTTGCTTTTAAATCTGATTTCATTTTACGTGCAATGAGGCAGTTAAAAAGCACTGCGTGTTTAAAGATAGACTATAACATATAGACTTGAACAGGTAACTGACTTGGTGTGGTCAAACTGTCTGTTTATTTGTCCCCTACAAGGAGGGGATTATTCACTTGACAGTTCTGCTCTGCTCAGTCCTCAACACAGCGGGGACGTCCAGATGCTGCCACAGCAACGCTGATATTTTGTCCTGACTGGCAACATCTGCCTTGGAACGGCAACACCTGGGAATCCTGCCTGAAGTGCGCACAATACACGCGTCAGGGGCTGTTCTTCTGAGCCTCTCAGTGAAGTGAGGGTGTTGACAGATGAGGTTCACCTAACCACCTTCTCCCACCAAAGCAATCAGTGAAACTATAAAGAATCTTTTCCCTACGATTCCCGTCTCCCTGTGGATCCCTCCTGCATAAAGGGATGACCTGGACTACTTGGTGCTATCGAGGATGCGTAGCTTGAGCGTGTCCTTATTTGATGTAGTTGATATGCTTGCAACCCAGCGATAAAACCTCCCGAGGACTATCAAAAGAAAATCTTGAGTCTCCAATAAGGATAACTGTGGGTCAGAATACACTAATTGCCCTTGTTCTGAGCCATGGTTGAGGGACTGGGGCCCAGTAAACAGTGCAATGGGCTGAAACTGGTGTTTAAATCGTTTGGCCCTCCTGCTCTGCGCCAGGGGACCTCAAGCATATCATCGCAATACTCTATTCCACTGCTTTCCAGCTAATGCTACCAGCTGCCTTTGTCAGGCACTCTGAAATTTACTGATGCGAAGTGCTGCTCGGCGGGGTTTGCTCTTATACTACAAGTATCTTTCTCTCATTAGTTTGACCAAAGGGACAGCATTTGTAGGAAACGCATTAATCTTAGACGTGCGCTTTTCAGAAATCGGTAAGAACACACTGAAATCATCGTCCGAGTCTGAAACAATCCATGAAAACAATCAGGAGAAGCTGCAAGTCACAGGTCCTACTTAGCTTATATGAAGGATCAGAAAATATATACCAGGAATCGTCTCTCGGGAGCGACTGACCCAGCTTTCCCGTCTCTGCGTCCTACGGTCTTAGGAAGCGACATAAGTGAAGTGCTTGCAGTAGCACCGTACATCGTGTTTAGTCTGATATTATAGAGAGGGGCAAAGAAGTGTATAGTGTTTCATATATTTGGCAAGAATAGTCCCTAATTATGTAAGAAAACCTGATTTTGGATCATTCTACCCATTAGTACATTTCCTTTGGGAGAACAGAAATGGTCCTGTCTTCTTCCTTACCCTTTCAGCGACATTGAAAATCCTGTGGAAAGTTACCTAGAGCAGTTAACGTAGCCTAATAAGACACACACCTTGGTCCGCGCAAGCAGTGGGGCACCTCGTTCCAGGAGCAGCTCTACGACTTGGTCATGTCCACTTCTTGCAGCACAGTGGAGCGGGGTGAGTCCATCCTTAAAGTAAAAGGAGGGAAAACAAATGAGTGCATCCCCAGCTGTCCGTCCCGGCGCTCTGAGGAACACCTTTCCAGGAATGCAGCCCCACAAGCCTGTGAAAAAGCTCCTTTTTTTTGGCTCCTAACTGAAGCGGGCTCCACGACATGAAGTTTCATCCCTGTTCTTCCTTGCACCTGTAAAGGACACTCTAGGGTTACCGTTTCAGAGAGGAGGCCCATTGTGTGCTGAAAGCTCCTATCAAAGAGGATAACGCGAGCGTGCATCGCCTTCCCCCCTCCTTCCCCTCTGCATGGCTTTGAGATTGTATTGCCTCTCCCGGGATAATGTGTGCTTGGCCAAGGATGCTCCGTTCATCAACCCTTGTCCTTTGGATTGCTTTTGATGCAGGGATGAAACAAGAAATGTTCATACTAGAAAATTTACTCTGGAATTTATTTGTGGTGTTTTTTGGTTTTTTTTTGTTTTTTTTAAAAAACAAGGCAGCAGGAGAAAGGTTTTAAAACAGAGAAAAAGAGAAAGAGAGAAGCAAACGGAACAACCCCTTTCATTTCTGAGACTGAGAGGTGAACAAAGAGCTAACAATTCTTTGCTAACATTGCTGCGAGACCACCAGCACTGCAATGTTTTTTGGGTTGCAGAACACCACTCTATACCAAAAGACTTGCTCAGGCTACTCAGCAGTGATCACAGCCGTGGTAGCACAAGATGTGTCAATGAAACATTTAGATAGGAGAATGCATTCTAGGTGATTCTGCTACAGTTTGGACTTTATGCAGAAAAATACAGGAAATATGAGGCAAGAAAAGTGGTTGCAAAAGAATATTAGTGCTAAATGCCAGAAAAAAGAAAATGCGTAAGATATAGAAACCCGAGTTTTCATCTCATTATACCTCTATATTGTTCAAGCATGCGCTCACAGAAGTCATCAATACTCATTCAACAGAGAGAGGTTTACAGAGGTAAAATGGTCATAGTTTTTAATCACAAGCAAAGCCTCCTCCCTTTGGGACACACTGCTCATCTTAGATGAGGTAGATGCTATTATTCGAGGGTGCTTTCGGAAGAATCCAGTAACAGCATGATTAAAAGATGAATATAGTGGTCTGAGATAGATTTATTACTTAGAGGTTAAAAAAGTAGCTAAAATGCAAAAACATGGCCTTAAGTACGAGTTAGCGACCCTGCTTCATGCACAGATATATTGTTTGCCTTGCTGGAGTTTGGAGGAAGTCTACATCGCTATATTTTTACTTCTAGTACTAACATTTTTAAATTAAAAGTAGCTCTAGACTGCCCAGTGCCATTGCAGTTGCAACGCCGTTTTGGCTATGCAAACATAGCCCTGTAATACTCTACAAAAGGTCGTTCCAAGAAGTAGAGCCTCCCTCATCCTCCGGTTCGAAAGCACGGAGCACCTTTCTGAGTTAGCAGTGCAACACAGCTCCACCGCAGCGAGGAACTGAAGTCTGCAGGGAGGAATTTTTCTCCCTTATCTACTGTTTCCAGAGATTTTTCAGAAACGTGTGAAGGCCTTAGGTGTGCCTTGACGCTCACTATCTGAGAGGCAGAGGCATCCCTAAATCCCATGGAAGCTTTACAATGAAATTCAGCAGATGCGAGATCAAACCTGCAAACGGAATTCAAGGCTGTTCAGCAGATTGGGTCAATGTAAAGGAATTGGGTGTAACTAGCTTATCTGGGTTTTGGTTTTTTTTTTGGTTTGGTTTGGTTTGTTTTTTGGTGTTTTTTTTTTTTTTTTTTCTGAGCTGAAACTTCAGAGCCCCCTAAATCAAGTTTTTATACGCACAACTGAGGTATATTTTCATCTCGCTGCCAGAAGGATTCATACACGTGATTCCCACTAGCATTACTAAGGTGAGAATATATCCCAAACATATTTCTAGGAAAGGTATTTATTTGGTATTTCTTTCCAGTTTCTGGTCTTTTGTGCTCTACATTTTTTAATCAATGTGGAAGGTTCACTTTCCCTATCTGCATAGTGGCTTTGATGTTATTCTATTTAATAGAACAGCAAAAGAAAGGTAGAATTGTGTAAATCCTTGAAAAAAAACACAGGACAAATCCCCAGAGGGAGAAAAAAGAAGAAAAACACAAGCTCAGACAGACATCAACTCCACAAGAAGGTCTAGCTAAAACAAACAAAAAATAACTAAATCATTAAAAAGCATGATTTCTCCTCTGTTCTTATCTATAATTCCCTCTAAAAGTAGAGATAAAAATTTGCTACTGATCCTATTCTATCCTGTCGCAGCTTTTATAAATGCATCACCGTTTACTATCTGTGCACTTTCCAGCAGGCGAATGAAGCAATGTGCTTTGCAGCCTTCTCATATAACCCTCTTCTCTCTTCCCTCTTTCTGCCCTGGGGAAAACAGCATGTATATTTTAAAATTATTGTATATTTAATAATTTAGATTCTATTTTTGCTTATATGTTTTCTTTCAAGATGAGGGAAATTGCAAAGAGAGAGCTGTTGTAGCAGAAGAATTAGTATCTCATACAATCAGGACAAACTGTCATTAGCCAACATCGAGACACACTGCCGTACCTAATTAGTCCTCTTGCACCATTATCTAGTCACAATGAACCTCAGCGCTCTGAAATCTATTGCAGGAGTTTGCCCGTGTCCCTTTTTAATCGTTCCCTTGCTAACTGGTACACCATGTAAATTGAAGAACACATGCTGACCAAAATATCAAACAGATCGTTTGACGGGACATACAACACTGAGTCGAAGAGACGCAGACTCTGAAGCACAGATAATGGATATCCCAGAAGCACAAAGGCCGCCATGCCAGGAAATTCAGCACTTCTATGTTTTAACAAGTCCACTATTTACCTCCTCAACCCAAATAGTACCTAATTCAGTGTTTTCATCTTCCAGGTGACGTCCTGCACCTGGGGTTCGGTTGTCCCCGTACGTGGTACTCTCCTAGCTCACGCTTTGCAATGTAACCACCAGCGGGGTCACTGTTAGAAATGACACTGCAATCCTCTCTCTATGTATGGAAGCCATGGAATTCCGTCACTCCTCATTTCCTCTTAAATGGCTCTCAAAATAGAACGTAAACTTTTGCCTTTTTTTCTTGAAAATCAATCGCCCGTCATTTTTTAACCTGCAAAATTAATTCTGAATTCTGTGCGTGACTCCTAACTGCGGGGCTCAGGAAGATAAATTATTGGGTCGTTTCACAGTGATTAAAATGCTTTACTTCAGCTTACCAGGGAGACTGAGAGAAAAAGAAGCTGTGCTTACGAGAGACTCTTAATGGGAAATGATATGGGCAGCATCTTAACAGGACAGTTGTGCACATTCTGTGCTCATTGGAACGAAGACTGATGATAGCACATGAACAGCAAAGGCCAAATTAGCAAAGAATCCTTCTAAACTGCAGCTGCATATTCTCATTTTTATAAGGATGAAATAAAATTTTAGTATTCTGTTAGACATGCAAAATTGTCTGAATTTTCTCGACAAGTAAAGGACTTTTCATTGGTTCATTTTTCATTACTACTAAACCTCATCTCTTTAAAAATGAACAAGGCAAGTCTCCCTCTTGCTCTGAGCTCTCAGAGTCTTGGCATAATTAGACACGCTCTAAAGTATTCCTCCAGGTCTGCCATTCAAATTACAAATTTTAAAAATACAGCAAAAAATATACCATGCATGTGCTTGAGTAATAAGATATTAACCGAAATAATTCTAAATAATCGTCACTATCTATAGATAATCTGTACAACGTCCCTTCCCGCTCCCTTGTAAACATTACATGAATCCGCTAAATTTTTTATAGCAAATGTCTGCATTGTGATTAGATATTTATAATCTGACATGGCTTTAGGAATGGCAAAAACTGCCAATGAATTATTAGTGCTCTGTGCATGTGTGAAGAGTAGGAGAAAATGTCGCAGCAGCATTACTGCAGGAAAACAACCCTGTAAACACAGCAGAGTGCCAGGACAGGGCTAGGATCCTGCTACGATGGCTTTAGGGCTGGAAACCCGCTCCCATGTGGAAACAGCAGAGAGCCGTGCCCTTCTGCCAGGATGCATCTATACAAACGGAGACGTTATTACAAATAAATCTCCCTAGGTTCCCAGAACGAGCGTTAAGGGGTGTCTGAAGCACATTCACCACAAAAAAACCCAACTCAACCCAAACCAAAACAAAACAATCCGAGTTCCAGTCCCCCCCCCCCCCCCCCCCTCCCCCCCCCCCCCCCCCCCCAGCTTCCCTCCTTTTCTTTTCCCGTTGGTATCGCACATCTCTCTGACCGACCTTCCACTTCTTTCAGCTCCAGCTGAGCCTCCTTTCTTTTCTGTGGCCCTTCTCCAACCCAAATGGCATACCAGACGTTCTCCCCACCATTATCACGTCTACTCCCCTCTCCAGCTCCAGCTGCCACGCTCCAGGCACACAACATGTTTACTTTCCCACACAATAAGCTTTCCATTCCAAGACTAGATGCTCTATTTCATTCCAGGGATTTTTTTTTCAACTGTAAATATTCTGGACAACAGCCTGCAAAGAGGAGTCTAAAGAAAAGTCCCAGAGCAAGAAAAATTTAATTTCAGTGTTGGCAAGATTCAACAGAAAGAAGACAAAATGGGTGACAACTTCAGCATCTGAGAGAGGTGAAGGTGTTCCTCCCCTCCTTCTCAGGGTGTTTGCGTAGTCCAACAGAAATGGAAATACCAGTGAGGCGACAAAGGCTTGTGAATAACACCGTATATTTTAAAGTAAAAAAAGCATAAAAAACCTAAAAAAGACTCACATTCTTGTTCTTTTTTTCCTATACAATTTATATAGAGAGATAATAGAGATATTACAAAAACTGCATTCATAAAGAACACTCTTAAAACCCTTTAATAGGCAGTAACATTTCAATATCCCACACATCCTTACTGTTCCTATTCCATTATATCAGAATATATTTTTATTTAATAGAAATCTATATATTTCGGCCATCCTGAAGTTGCTCTGCTTTTAAATGCTTAAAGTAATTCTCCCTGTAATAATCATTACTATGTTTCAGGAAGACTGTAAATGCTTTCCTTCTCCCAAAGCGAGGACTGATAATTGCCATGTTACTCTTGGCCACATGACATTGATTTCATCGTACATTGAACTTGCCACCGTCTTTTAGAGGACAAGTTTCTGCACGCTGATTCCTAGCCACCGTCTGCACAATTCCTTCTGAAACCAGGCTCCACTGCTCTACCATCGTAAGCTGCACAGGTCAGAAGTTTAGCTAAATTTTACAATTTTAAACAAACAATTGTCACTGAAGTTCTTTTTCAGGTAAACTTGTAGAGAATATAGGTTTGACTAAGATTTTAAATATGAAATGTTTTAGCAAAAGAAATTTTACTCGTTCATTACTTAGCAAACAAAACTCCAGATAGGGCTTGCGTGTAAATCGAAGTAGCACAAACGTAGATATAACAGATAGTACTAATAGAAGTATCCTATTAATATCATTGGGAATGGAGTTTACATTTTTGCTTTAGATACAATATAAAAGAGAAATTAAACTTCAGATTTTAAAAACTTATTTAGTAGTTTGCTGAGAAAAATGGTAAAACTTGTCAAAAAATTTAAGCAAAATATTATTTTAAAATATGTAAGTGCAGCAAGCAGATTTATTAGCAACTCCGCATCTTTAGTGAGAAATGCCATAAAATTTCAGCAAATACATTATTGAAATGTATAGAAAATAAAAACATGTAATTCCTGCAGTAAGCAGGGCTTTCCTCTGACATGCAACATTAACTGTGGAACAGCAGGACACATGCATAATTTACTCCCTTTGAAAAACGTACATTTTAATTTTTGTTTTAGACAATACAGGGGCTCCTAATGGATCATTCCAATGGAACACTTTCAAACACAAAAAGATTTCACAGATTAACTCTGCAAAATTAAAGCACTGAGGCTCATCTAAAAATAGGTTAAAATAAGTTTTTGCATCTTAATTTATGCATCATCAGATGTCATGTAATAAGGCAAGTTAAAAATAAACTGAATGAAAGCAACGAGTACTTTTTTAACCAAAGAGCTTGTTTTGATGCGGTATGGAGACCCAGAATAAAAGCCCAAGCTATCCAGCAATGAAATATCCTAGTACATTGAATTCCCCTGTTTTCAGTGAATCTGACCTACTGGAAGAATGCAGGTGTTCCTCAGGAGAAATGAAAAGGCGAGTATGGGAAGGCAAGCACGTTAGTACCGAGGTGGAGGAGGCGGAAGTCTGTCCCTTAAAGCACAAAACACACGTATGCACGGCATGCAACACACAACCTACCTCTTCCATGCCCTACATACTCACGGCCATAGCAAAGCACACAAGGCATGCGGACAAAGCAAGGGGAAAAGAAAAAGACACCGAGACGATATAAACAGCTGGCATGAAGGCAAGATCACGCCACAGAGACGCTGACAGCAAAACCAAAGCTCTGGAATCTTCCCCACTGTGAAGAACAGGCAGCCGACAGCCACCGTGTGCCTTTGAGCGGGGAGAAGGCAGAAGATGAAAGCAAGAGGAAGCTGCTGAGCCTGTGCAAACGGGGGTATGTGCGCTTTAGGGTACCTTTATGGATTTTCACTGGTATCTTCGTGCTGACAATTTTTGAGCTAATGTAGCAGCTGATAAAAGGGCAGGAAGCCCAGACAATGAGAAGACTCTAAAATTAGCACCTTCCACCTACGCTGGGCAAAGTCCTGTTCTTTCCGTCTCATTCACAACTGCACATCAATCTTTGCAGGTGAGCGGGGAAGGGAACACACCTTAACCTCTTAAAATCCAAAACGTACTTTACAATCTTCTGTGCCAACTTGTCTAAAACAAGTATCTAAATACTGACCAGCAAATAGGTGAATTCAACACTCTCGTTCCACAGGCCAAATGGACCATTTCTGTATGACTACTGTGCTTATGAGTGTGTGGAATACCCTGACTGCAGCGTATTATTACCATTTCATGCCTCTTTACCATGAGATTTTAGGCACTTATTGCAGAAAATTTGACCAGGGATGATTTACTGCACACCTTCATGAGAGGCAGCATTTTTCATCATCAGCTTCTGAAACAAAACATTACTAAACTAGAAGGGGTCTCTCAAACCCTTAAAAGAGCTTATAACAAAATTAAAATGGATCCATTTTTTAATAAAAAGAGTTAAAAAAAAAAAAAAAAAAAAAAAAAAAAAGAACAAGAGAGACATCATTTCATAAATAATCAGAAATCAAAATCATAATCACATATAGAGTTACAGGAAAATCACGATTGCCTTCCTAGCTTATGAAGCTACAAATGGTTGATGTAATTAATATCAAAGTAATGGCAGAGGTTGAATCAACCACAAGGGTGGCTGACTGCAGTATCCTCCACCTTCCTCTGCCTTTCTACCTTATTAAACAAAAACTCTTATGTCCTGCTCTAAAATGTGTTCCAAAACAGCCTCCATTACTTGGAAATATAATTTTGCAGATCAGTGCTTAAAACCCAGCAGCTTTCAAGAACGAGCCCTGTGCAGTTCAGTTTGCGTAAATGATCACATTTTCCTAGGTGACTCCAAAATCCCATTTGAAATAATTAACCCTGACCATATCAATTGATGGGCTTTTCTTTTGTCCTGAAGGACTGCAAAATCACCCCAAAATAAAGAGCACAGTATCAGTGTGGCATTTCAACAACGCAACTGGGAGGCGGAAGCCAGTGAGTCACCCGGTTCTCTGTGGTTCGGCTGGGGAAGAGGTGAGCAGCTGCTGGCACAGAGCAGGTTTCTTGTTCTCAGTATTGTCTCGTCAATAAAAAGCGACGGCCAGCCCACTACAGCAGCTTTCAAGCTGCGTACTATGACTGGCACAGACACTTAGGGGACTGAAAGGCTTAGCTGAGTCCAGACACTCCACTCCCCGTTGCTCTGCAGCACACATGTTCTTGTGTCACGTGAAGCTGGACCAGCTAACAGCCTTAGTTCCTCAAAAAGATGGGTTTCATCAGCTTTTTCTTGTATGATGGAGGTAGATTGTACAGGAGACTAAAGGAAATAGTATTTCTGCCTCCTACTGTCACCGATACCTGCCATTCTTTAGTCTGATATCATAGAAAACAGCCTACATAAAACAAATATCAATCTCAAAACTAAAGGTAGGAGTCTGAATTTTTCTTGTTTTTTAAAAAAGGTACAAAAATATTTCTTTATAAATTATTTTTGGAGTCACAATTTAAATTTGGTCTGAATTTCAAAAGAGTACATTTGTGTGTTTAACATTTTTGGAGCAACGTTTAACATTTTTGGAGCTGTGTTCAGCTGAACTTTTTTTTGAGTCATTTATAGCAGCCGCATCTAATGTCTCATGTTAAGAACAGAGAACAAGACACGGTTACTGAAGCTGAATTCCTAGCCATTAATCTTGGTCTTCCCAGTTTCTGGCTTAAAAAAACCAAACCAAAAAAAGAAACCAAAACCAAGCAAACAAAAAATCCCAATCCATTCCCAAGAAGGGACAACATCATATTCAGGGAATAGAAAGACTCACCCTGGTTTTGGCATCGATCTGCCCTCCGCGATCCAACAAGAGCTTCACCATGTTTGTGTTTCCCCTTTTGGAAGCCACATGCAGTGGGGTGATTCCATTCTACACCATGAAAAGAACAAACAATGAGCGTGATGGATTCGAAGGCGGATAATGGTGGTGACTTTGTGTTCAGATCACAAGAAATGAGACCATCACATTGTAGAGAATAAACAAAAACGTAGTTGAGCATCAGAGCTAGGCACACACCATATAAGCTAGAGTTAGTAACTCCTTTCTAAGCTAGAATCTTTATTCATTGTTTGGGGTTTTTTAATAAACAAAGAAGCGCATCTGCCAAAGCAGCAAACATCACAGTCCCAGAGTCAGACAAATAAACAAACAGATACCAGAGTCCCAGTGGGTCAATATTCACAAAACACCGATGCATTTAAATCACTGCAACATACACAGAGTAGACAAACGCGTGACTCCCACACAAAGGAACCTTCTTCGTGTCATGCCAATAGCGTAAAGGAGTAGGTCCTGGCTGGGCTCAAAGTCCTTGCAAATGCTTTGGGTGAGGAAAGAGGTAATATTTGCAGCTATTCCAGACTGGCAACGGGAGGAAGTCAGTCTGAAAGGCAGAAGCCTAAAGTAATTGAAAGCGTGTCTGGCAAAATTAGACAGAAAACTAGTGATCCGGTAGCTATGTTGAGGTACGGATCACCAGAGGTTTTCACGGCACCAGATGCCACGCTTCAAACTACGTAACCTATAACAGCAGAGACTCTATTATGTAGCTCTGCAGTTGTTTACCATAAAAGAGTAGTCATGATCAGTTCGTACTTTTATTGTTGCATTTATAGAATGGCAATATACCTTACTTTACTTTTTCAAAATAGGTTTATATGTGAAAATATCAAATTATACTATAATAAGTACTGAAAAAGCCAATAAATCCTACATATATTTCTGGAGTACGTCTAACTGACAGAAAAGCTGAAGTGAGTTGACACATTATGAGAATATCAGCTTTCTGGAGCTAGTCAAAGGAGCCTGCTTCCTTCAGCTGGGAATACTGGTCGCTACGCAACTCCCAAGGACTCTGGTGCATTGCATGGAGGCAACCTTTAAGAATGACTGCAAAAAAGACATCTTTGAACACAACAGAATTTCAGCATTACCTTGCTTCTCACTTACTCTTGACTAAGAAATACACAAAGAAGCACTCCTACTTTTGTAGGCCATTACAACTAAGAAGAGAAAGAAATTCCTCCGTACCCTTGCTGTGAAATCGACTGCAGCTCCTCGGTTTAGCAGAAGCGTTGCCACATTGACATTTCCATAGTGCGCGGCTATGTGCAAAGGTGTAAAGCCACTCTACAAAGGGAAACAGCCCTTATTATAGAAATCATTCGATACAAGGTCATCAACTTAACTAGAACTTGGTTTTAAAAGCTGCTAGCAAACAAACGTATCGTGTCCACTTTATTCAGTTCACCTATAATATAGCACAGCCTTTCAGGCAGAGAGTGCAGCTTCCATATAAAGAGTTATCAGAAGTGTTTCATTCTTTCATTCTCCATTTCAGTCTTCTGAATCAGTGGCCAATAAGAAGAGTAGCTTTCATCATCGAAAATATTAATATATTAGCCATTCGTAAAGAAAACAAAAGAAGTTTCCTTATTACAGTTGGGAAGCAACATGGGTCTTTTGGGCTGCATCTGTTTACTGGTTTTGAATAAACGACCACAGAAGTTGTTGGACTCTTATTTTACTGCTCTTAGAATTAGAAATATTGACAACATAGTTCCTTCCTTTTTTTTTTTTAAAAAAAAGCAGTGGTTATTCAATATGTAACCCAAGAATCTGGTATACATGAGAAACTACTTAGTAGCAGAGTATAAGAAACATAATTATTTATATTTATATACAATTTGGATCTCAAAGGATCTGAAGAAGCTTTGCCATCTATACATCACAAAAAGCACAATTTACTTATTGCCTCTCAAACGCTAGGAGGTGAAACCTGCTCCAGCTGTGAGATATAGAATTGCTTGGCAACAACATAAAAAAGATTAATTTTTCAGAAACTAGCACACAGAGCAAGCTTTTAGTCTCCTAAGTAATTCAAGTAGAAAGGACCTTGCTTCTGAGATTTCCCTGAAGAGCTTTACACTGATTTGATCAGATCTTACTGTTAGTTATAGAAAGAGAGAAAAACTTTTGGCTTCTAGACTGCACCGTATTTTCAACTAGGTTTCCTTTCTTTCAGTGTACAAATCATCATTTTAAACTACTCGTGGAATAAAGAAATGTAGGCAGATGTTGCGCTCTGGAATCAACTTTATTCCCCAAAGACACAGCCATCAGCCCACTATTTTACCCTAATTCCATTTACCTCCCTGCCAGCCCACAGGTGATCCTGGTCAAAGTACAGTCAAACGCTCATTACCTTCACAGTCGTCTTGCTGCGATAAATTACCAGGGAAATGCCTACTGAGGATATTAGGCACACAACTACGATACTGCGTTAAGCTGTAGGTGGAATGCAGATTGCATTAACAACTACCTTCTCGTGGACACATGTTTGCCTGGTGACAAACGCAAGGTACGGAGAAGTAACGTAACGGCCGGTGAAGGACAGGTAACCCCCTTCACATTTACCATATTCAAATAACAGAGAAATCACAGTTCTAGGCAATCAGACCCATGATTTTTAGTGGAAGTGCTTGGAGAGTTGGTATTTCCAGAGTCCGTATGAGAAACACAATATTATCTCCTGCGGGTAAATTCTGAGTATGTGCTATCCCTTAGGGACTTCTGAAAACTTTATTGAAAAGACTCTAATAAGAACAATGGTAAAAATAAGCAGATGCTCCGAACAAGTTTTTACCTTGGAGGATTTGATTATATTTATTATTGTAAAAGACAGAAAACTAATTTCACCTTTATTCTGGCTGAGCCAGACACCTTAATTTAGTTATGCCAAGCAAGTGCGTTTTCATAATTACTGAAATTGAGCTAGAAAAGCATCTTTATCCTTTTAGCTCCATTACTCACTTCAGACTTCTTTGAACTGATGTGAATTCTTGAAAGTTTACTCCATAGTGACACAAATAAAAAGAAATTCTAAGACAAAGGATGAATAAAAATAGGTTTGCTGAATCACAAATTTCTAGGTATTAAAAAAAGAGTCTTATCTTCACTTTTAGTGCTAAATAATAAAGAAATATTGCCACAGAGCAGAGAAAATAATAATAAGTAACAGAAAGAGTAATTAAAAATTTTTGATCTCGGTACCTCAGTCGTCCTATTCACCATCATCTGATGCAGCATGGTTTGGGAAAAAGAGGAACAATATTAAAGACTGGCCGCAAAACGAAGAACTATGTTGCTTTTTGAAATGAGTTATGCTGTTAATTATGGGAAAAGCCATTCAAGCATGCATTAACTTTAAATACAACCTATGTTCCCATGGGCAATAAACCAGTATCCTATTTAATAGAGAAACAGTGATTCTGCTTCCATTCCAGTGCCTTCTGGCTTACAAATAATGAGAGAAAGCTGGTTACCAAAGAAATGGGAGGTGTAACTAAAAAGCAGAAAAACGAGTAGTTTGTAATTACTGCGTAGCTAAACACTGCAAAAGTAGATATATTACTGGTGATACTGGTCGAGCAACTTGTCTTTCCCCACAGAAGAAATTACCTTTAACCCTCAGGATGAAGGAAGTAAAGTTTGTTGCCCATCGGCACTCGGCCACGCGACTACCCTGTTACCTCTACGGCAGCATCGCGTTACCTTGGACTGCACGTCGGCATTGTGGTCGTTCTGCAGTAAGAGCGCCGCTGATTTGGTGTCATCTTTTCTAGCGGCAATATGCAGAGCTGGTAATCTCACTTTCCCCTTGGTGTCATTTTCCAGGAGGATGGCCACCGCCTGGTTGTGGCCTTGCTGCAGCGCAACAGCTAGAGGAGTGAAGCCGTCCTGGTAGAGAAGAAAAGACAACGTGCTCAGTGAGCTGAAGGACGTACAGCTTCAGAGATCTGCACGGCGCTGTTCACGCGCAGGGATTTGATAAGCACGTTACCAGCTGTTTTCTGCCTCTGCACCACCATCTCCAGTGAAATGACATTGGAGGCACAACATTGTAACCCAGATGTGATTTCAAACATGTCAGAAGCATGCTTTTTCCACTTCAAAGCAGTCTTTTTTAAGCCAAGTACACACCAAGAGGATCAGTCTACAGTATCTCTTAATTACATCTCATCTTAAAATGGGCCGCAAAGCGTATTTTTAGCAATATTTTGGTAAGGATTAGCGAGCAGTGAACAAAGTAGATGTGAAAAATATACAGGGAACCTGTTTCTGAATATCTCATGTCTCTGTGAAAAGAAAGCATAGCTTCAGATGCGTTTGCTGCTGTTTCCCATTCTAAGTTACACATGGACTACGACTCAAGAAAGCCAGATCACGTTTAGGAATTTATTCTAACTTGAAGCTGCAAAACATTAGATTATTTGTACTTTTTGCAAAAACAAAGTCAGAAAAATCTCTCTGCTTTTCATTCATAGTTTTAGCTTTGTTTTAAAATTATTTTCAAATTGTCTTGCTCCTCCACACGTGCCCCGGATTGCCAACGCTTTAAAACGGGTCACAGGATCGCCACTTGCTATCTCGGCTGAAATACTGCCTGCTCCCATCTCTTTTATTCTGACTATAAAACTGCATCTAGCTCACGTCTTGCGTGCTGCCCACGTGCTAGAACCAGGTGCTCGATGGGAGGGCAGCTGAACCAGGAGGAACAGAGCAGCTCTCCGAGTCTGTGACCGGAGGCACGGCGAATAACAGCGAAAGAAAAGGGAAGGGAATAGAACAAGGTCTTCTGTATCTGGGTTGGAAGGAACAGCTAAAAAGTTGATTATAGCCAGAAAGTGAGAAACTTGATTTAGATACATTGTAAAAGGCATAGGAATGAGACAGAATTGATTTGGAATAGGAATATGGAAAGTTGATAAAATAATAAAGGACAAGTTCGGAAGGAATGAGAGCTAACATATGCTGAAAGAAACATCTGAAGAATTGCCAAAGCAATTTTTCCCCTTAGTAATCTAATAACGTTCACTCCCTTTTGCGCAGAACTGTGGGTAGGTGCGCTGTAACAGCGATACTACTACGGTTTCTTTCTGTAATAGAGATTAAATTCTGTACAGTGAATTAAAAAAGGGTGAACAGCTGATGAAACAGCTGAACTGTAAAGATAATTCTGAGATTGGGGCTACATTAGGTGTTGAAATGGCTTAACGCATTTGCCTTTCGCCTCTGGGAACATGAGAACAAATCCTGGATTAGAGGCCCTGTGAAACCGAGCTCATCCTTACTCCCATTTTGTATAGATATGTACATAAGTGTTAGAGGAAATGAAATATATCCAGAGGCAGAGGCAGTGCGAGTTTCAGAGCTTCAAAGACAAGATCATCCATTTGATTTGCACCACTTTATCTTCCATCCTTCTCTAAAAGGACACAACCCTTTCTGCACTCCCTCTCCTGCTGCTTCTGGGATGCACGGTTGACCGGAGCTCGGAGAAAGCATTTCATTTCCCCGCCTCCCCACGTGAGGACAGCCAACCTTTGATGCCAAACAGAAGGTCCTTCTCCGTGTAGTTCGGTGGCATCCTCAGTTCAGGCTGCCCTCCCACCTTATTTAATTAACGCACCATTTCTTCATTCCGCTCACGAGACTAGCTCTGGGCACGTGTGAAAACGGACAGAGGCTCAGACCATCCTTCAAAAACACTCAAATCACTGAAACCATCACCTCAGCAAGACCTGAAACCAAAACTTATCTACTTAAGCGATAAGGGGGTAGACAGCCTTTACTTTCCAAGCTGAAAAAGTGAGAACTGACCTTTCTGATAGCAGAAGACAGACTTGGAGTCAGGTTCAGAGCAGGGGGCATTTGATTTCCCCCTCCCCCTGCCCCCGCCTTTTTTTAGAAATGTCAGACTATGCTGTGAGTTCCAGCCATGCCTGGATGTCTGCATTAATTATAACCATCTCGGCCTCACAGTTCCTGTAAACTAGCGAATTAATTTCCAGTGCACTTGATCACCACAGCCAGTAAAAGTTACTGGGAGAAAGGCTGCAAGCAGGTGATGGCGGGCTGTAGCTGGGCCGGGCTCCTGGGGAGCCACAGTTCCACTCGGCTCCTTCACAAGGAGTGTGTTTCTGCCACGTTGCCTGGCAATCCCACGGGATTTCATGTTTCAGAAAGCTGACATGTAATGCGATCACCATATATGCAGGCCACGAGAGGATTATTTTAGGAGCTGTCATCAAGTACAGTATCCATTGAAAGAAGGGACGGTCAGGCAGCTGTTAACACTAGCACTTCGGTTTAAAGGAAAGGAGAGCGAGCATAAATGCACCATCATTTCAAATTCACCCGTTTGTGAAGGCGATCCGGAACGGGTGAGTTTCTGTACAGACTAGGGAAAAGTAATAAACATGAGCAAAAGCTCTGACAGGAGAGGAACTTTCCTGTTCCTACTTCGCACGGCACATATCCATAGAGCAAACACGAAGCCAACACGCTTTGCAGCACAGAGCCCGTTCGCTCGTCCCCTTGGCTTGGAATAAAAGAACGTTTGGCAGAAAGAGAACAAGAGGAGGAAACGGAACGAGCACAGTCCTCGTGACCTAGGAGTTCTCCCCATTGCCCTCAAATCCTCTCATCTGCAGAAGGAAGTCCTTATCATTCAGTTCCTCTTGAGATGGAGTCTCGTCTCTCTTAACTTTGGTGTCTGCCCGGCTTGCACTGAAGTCACTGCAGGTTTACAGCACTACAATTAAATCCAGAACCTAGCCATTAATAGCACCCTTCTGCATATTCATACCCACGTGGTCCAGCAGTAGAAATAAAGCGTCCGAGGAGAAAACAGCACATTGCCTGCTGAGCTCATTGATGTGATCCTTGTTAGTCATTTCATTTCCAATTGACGCTAACCCCAGACAGCAGTGAATATTCACAGGTTACACAAAGTCGCAGACAAGCCTCAGAATCGGAGTAACTTAGCTGGTCAAGGAGGTCCAGCCACCAGCGCTCCTCACTTAGAGGAGCAGGAGGTTGGAGTAAGTGACCTCCTGAGGCCCCTTTCTACCTGATGCTTCTGTGAGCCCAGCACCGCTCGTCACTTTTGTGCATGCACTTGCAGAAAATATTCTGAACTCATCTAAAATCTCAAGACCCCATCTAAAAGGAAGCTTGTCAACACCTAACTGTTGGTGCTTACGGACATGGTTTAGTGGTGGACTTGGCAGTGCTGGGTTAACGGTTGGACCTGATGATCTTAAGGGTCTTTTCCAACCTAAAGGATTCTATGATACTAATTGTTTTTATACTATTTTACACTATACACAGACACCCTTCTGGACACAGTCCTCATAGTCCTAATTATCATATTCACGTTATATTCCACACACTTTTCAGCTGGCTGAGGAAGAAGCTGGAGCAAGCCTCCAAACTACCTTCCCCAGAAGGCTCCTTATACAGCCAAGAGTGGGAAATACATGTTGTATTCTATTCAGCGATTTTTGCCCAGATCTTACTGTGCAAATAAAAAAGCAGCACAAAGATAGCCCTGTTGCTCAGGTGATGGCATTCCTAGATGCTGGAGTTTTCAAGGGCTTTGTCGGAGACGTAAATCTGTTCAAATGAAATGCTCTACCTCTCCACTTAGCCTATGATTGATCTGCTATTCACTCCATTCCCCTGACAATACCACCTTGGCCTCCTATAATTTCTACAGCCCTAGGGACCTCTCTTCAAAGCCTCATTTATTTTTCAGAAAATTCTCCAGGAAGCTGATGGGAGAAATGGGCACAAACTGAAGGTGAAACTCCTGGCCTCACTGAAGTCAGTGGAAATTTTGCTGTCAAACGAATCGGGCTGGATTTCATCCCTTGACTTTTCACCACTTCCAGAACAGGCCACCCTTGTCTTCTGTGTGTGTAGGAAAAAAGGACAGGATTCATAAATACAACTCATTGAAATGAAAGCGTGAAAGTTCTCAAAATACTCCGTTTGAAAAATCTACGGACTTCAAGCAATCTGAATATAAAGGCAAAGGAAAATAAGAGCGTATGTAAAAGAAGACCAATATAGCTCACCTCAGTAGCTGTGCTTTGGTTGGCTCCATTCTCCAGGAGATATTTCACCACTTCAATGTGGTTCTCTTGAGCTGCCATATATAAAGGAGTAAAGCCATTCTAGGAAGAACACACGAGAAAATATTGTAACGAGGAATCGGAACACACCAACAATAACGAACCCCAGATAAATATACAGCTAAAAATGCATTTGTGCTTTTTTAACTGACATGTTTTAAGTATGTAAGTTGAACCACCTTGTATTTTTTAACTTAATATAGTAACGTTTAATGCCATTTAAACCCACAAAACTCTACATGCTTTCACACTCGTTTTCTTTTAACACGTATTTTAGGGAAGCAATGGACACAGCTATCCCTTGCTGATAACGCCGAGGGACTGTAAAGCTGGCAATGAAGTTTTATGAAAGCTGACAGGAAAGCAAGACTTTCCTCCATTTATTATATTAACTTAACCAAACACATCATCCCCTGGAGACCATAAAGTCCATACCTCATGACAAGCTGAGTAGAATAACAAAGGCTTAACATGCTACGTAAAATTTTGTAATACATAAAACATTGCAAATCATCAACATAAAGGAACTAAACCTTGCAAAGTAACAACTGCATTTCTGACTGTACAGTAAGTTCATCTATCATTTAATTACAAACATTCATTACAACATTCCTAGAGTCCTTAAAAGCATCTGCTCTGGATAATACAGTAATTTAAAAAAAAAATTCTTCTAAGTTAATCAAACTACAGGCAAATTCATTAGAAACGTAAGTCCTTTCTTCCCACTTAAATACTTTAATGCAAACAATTTTAATTAATTAGCTACAAAATCCTTATGAAAGAACGGCATGGAAGCGAGCTGCCTGCCTGATTAATAACTTTCTTCAAAGAGTTTTTAAGATTGCTATAAAGGCCTTAGAAAATTCTTTAATATTCTGTAGATTACCACGTAACATAAGAGGCCGTAACCACCTATACTTCTGAAAACAGTCTTCTGTCTCGGAATAGCACTTTTAGCTAGAACATAAACCATAAACCAGACTTCAAACATACCATTTTTTTTTTTTTATCTTGCGTGCTGTCACAATGAATGATAAACTTGTGCATTTACACAAGCAGTCGGAATTAATGCAAATACTGTGATAACGACGAACGTTGTTTCAGAGAAGCCAGTATTATTCTTTCTAGCAAACTTGCTGTGAAAACATTCCAGTGATTTCCTAATGAAATGAAATCTCATTTTTCAGTCGCTAGGTAACACAGTTGATTGTAAAACTGATGTCTTTACAGCCCCCCTCTGCGTTTACAAATGTAGAAGATTGCTCAGGCAATAAATATCATTTATGTTGTGCATGTCATATAAGTTATATGTGTTGTAGCAAGGCTTTTAATACTACTTTGCATAATATTCTGGCGCTTCCATCAACAATCTGGGGACACATAATTAAAAAATGGCACCCAAGAAACAGTCAACAGCAGCTCAGTGCCAAAACTGTGGGATGCATTTTGTGTGGCTTCGCACAGGGGTCTGTCTCTGGCAGGTATTATCCAATATTCCCAGTAATGACTTGAAGGATGGAATAGAGTGCTCTTATTAGTGACAGACAGCACGAACAAGATGGTCTGCAAGTACACCGCACAACAGGATCATAATCTGAAAGGTTCCTGTTACCCCGGAGAAAAGAGCTGGAAATGTAATTTAGTAAGGACAAATACAAGTTTCTCCGCTAGTGCAGGAAAAAAACAGATTAGGCAAACAGGGAATGAGGAGCTAGAGGAGAATTCTGCAGAAAAGGACCTGAAGGTCACAGCGGTCTACCAGGGGCCACTGGTCAATGAGCTCATTCTGCTGTAATAAAGACAAGCGCCGCGCTGAAGTAAAAATGTATCTCCCTGGGGAAGCTATTTTTCTTTGAGAAAAGAGTAGTAATTGGTGGTGTTCTGTCTGGAAAGGGAAAACTGAAGGAAAACAAGATAACAGTCTTTAAAGAGGAGGGTAAAGGTCTGTTCTGCATGTTCACGGTGACTAAAATAAATAGAAAAGCGCATAGTTTACTAAGGTTGCTGGAGAAAAAAGTCAGGTTAGACATCAAGAAAAGCCTCTTAACGGTAAGGTCAGCCTGGATTGCATTTTGACGGGCAGCTTCCCTCCTCCCAAATCACTGCTAAAAGCAGGCAGCAAACGGGAAGCACAAACCAGGCAAACGAGGCAGCCGCTCCCACGTCCCACCCGGGGCCGGCGAGCCGGGGGCACGCTGGGCTCCCGGCTGCTCCTCAGACACCTCTTTAACGGGGAAGGGGAGGTAAGAGATCCCAACACGGCGTAAAACGAAGGAACGCTGCTCAGCGGCGTAATTAGGAAGGCAGGGAAGGGCAGGGGCTTGCCAGGCATAGGGACTGAGCTGGCAGCGGGAATTATGAACAGATTGGTTTCTCTGCGATTGCACTTGTACAGAACAGCACAGAGAAAACTGCAGGTAACCGAGTTGGCTCGCTGTCTCGGTTTTCCTTCCCACTCCGGAAAGAAATAAAATAGCAACCTATTAGCTATAACTACTAGTAATTTTCCACCTGCCTCATCGGTATTTTAATACTGAAGTCTAATGTAGCAGTTTTTTAAACGATAATACGTGCCATTTGTAAAATCCTTCTAGCACTGAATATTACATGGATAAATACAAGGACCACACCGACTAATATAAATTTGGGGAATACGAGAATTTTCAAGCCAGAGTAAATCAATTTGCTTAAAAGCTTTCAAGAATCATCTTTTTTTTAATCAACTCAACTCCCTAGTTCTGGAACAGGATCGGGACAACAAACCCTGGATTAGGAGACCATAAACAATACATACGTGACTTCGTGACCATTTAGTACCAAGAAGTACTAAACGCTTTTCCACACAGAGATCCAGAAGAGTGGCCATTATATCAAGGATACCCTCCTCACATGCTATAGTCATACCTGAAACTACAGCAATCGGGGCTAAGGAAATTCTTGCATATAAAGTCGTAGCCTTTTGGTTTGGGGTTTTTTTTTTTTTTTCTTCAAGCTTTATTTATAGTTTAAAACTACTGTGTATATTTTCTTAAAATCTAGCTTATTTTGGAAATTGCAACAGCACGCCAAGGTCTAGATGCAAAACTGCCTATACCAGACACTGAACAAAGCTTCCCCTGAATTTCTCCCCCTGGCAAGGTCGAGCCCGGTTTTTTCCCCGCTGGCAGGGTGAAGCCTCCTTTCTCAGTGAAGAACTGGTTTCGGAGCTTCCAATTACTGTGTTCCTGACCTCAACACTTCTGGCTCTTGGCCAGAAAACTCCTATTTTAAGATTCCCGCTATTCCCGCTCTCCGTGGCAGAGCTCTGCGCAGCGGGATTACCTGTTAGGCCTGCTAGAGCTCTTCCTTCTCGGTTGTCCACTAGACCCCAGGACCTCCACGCCTCCTCCCATCCCACGTAGTTCCTATGATGCGTCTGTCTGTCTCTATACTATACAGCAAGTTTCTGTCTCTCTCAGCCAGTCCTGCAGTTCAATGGAAATGTCCGCAACAAAAGCATATCCTTCCCTTCGTTTCCTTTACTTTTGTTAATCTAAAATCCCAGTTTCTCATCTTTTAGTTTCAAAAAGAGCTATATGCCAATACTTGGTTTCTCTGTTCTGCTTCTAGAGATATTTCAAAGCTCAAGATCCCAGATGTCTGCAAAATTGAAGAAAACATGTTTTCCCTAGACTTTTGCTTCCCTACCCCAAAGTGTCTCCTACTGAATCCATGCCGTTATGGTTAATGATTCTCCATGGATGGGTTGCAAAGGAGACTGACCTCTCCCCTCCTTGTTTCCGCATGTGGAATGGGATACAGAGGGTTTATTGGGTCAGGGCTGGGGAATCTTTATTTCAATATATTTTCCTTCAGCTTATATGCCCATACTGTATAAACACAGTCCAGAATTAAAGTAAAAATACTGACTGTGGCATATAAATGTGACCTGGAAAAGGAGAAAAGCACTTTATTTTGCTTTTTCTGAAAGCCCAGTCACGTAATTATGTTACGTCTGTATGTTTAGATTTTGTGCATCATCTGAAAAACAGAAATTGATTTTGTAATGATATGTAACATTCATTTTCAAACAATGATTTCATCAGAGTATTTGTAGTGAGGACAGAGTACTCAGATTTCATTATGCTTACAAATGTATACTGCAAGATGTTTACTGCTATAATATAAAGTTATAATGAGAAATTAACGCTAAACAAATAAGAGTATATTTCATACTCCATTCTTTCTACTACATTCACTGATTTCCTTGCTAATTTGAGAAAATGAGTAGCTCTCAATGATTCTTCAAGCTATTAATGCAAATTGGCAAGTCTATATATGACTCAGAATTTGTATCATTAAATTTTGCCCAAGCCCTAATGAAGAGCAGTCTGAAGAAGCAGAGGGATTATTAGAGCATTTAGAAAATCACACAAACAGTTATATAGCTTGGTCGAGCTTTATTTTATGGCAGGCTTTCAAGGAACCATACTCTTTGCATGCAGTACCAAATGATCAGAAGCACGCATCTTCCAAACTCTGATTAGTAGCCAGTGCGTTTGAATGACTAGCCTACCCATGCTTGTCCATGAAGGTGTGACCTTTAGTGTCTATAAACCTATAGCTATCTATATACCATATATGCATATATATCTTTCTATATTCATACTGATAAGGAAAAGAGAGAAAATAGAGATATCTCTTCCCCCAGTTTGACTCTTTTAAGACGACATATAAGAGTTAGCAACATATCCTGTGATTAAACAGCTAATGTAAACCCAGATGAACGTATCTGTGTTATTTTAAAGGCCTCCAGGACCTGTTTAAGACTGTGTGAAAAGATCACTGAGATTACCAGGGAAGACAACTGACATCTAATGCAATGACATACAGCAAATGCTCCTTCCTACTTATTCTTCAAGGTGTAATTACCAGTCGGAAGGTCAACGCAATCAGCAGATTGCCCAACCCAGACCAGTTGCGGCCTCTGCCTCTCCACCCTACTGCATGGGTTTTTGGTTTGGCACTTTGATAGCCTTCTCTGCCCAGTTTTGCTTCACATC